CACACCAGAGCTATCCATCATAGAGCCGCGCGAGCAGTTCAGAGCACATTAGGTGCCAGGCCATTGGCGTTGTCAGGTTTCGTAGGCCGTGGGGATCTCTTCACGGTCGCTGCTTCCGGTCGTATCATTGACATTTGAGGTGCTGTGGCACTCACTTTCTGACATTGAGTTGGCTTGGCCAACGCACTGCTTTGTATATACATATTCATATTGCTAGGGCAAGAGTTGGTTGCCGGTTACCTCTGTACCGGTAGTCTGACTTGCGGTACCCCGGACTGTTAACGGCAGGACAGCCCAAACCCACTTTGAAACCAATCGCAGACTATGCGCGCGTGCCGTCCACCTGAAGTTTGTTGAGAAAATCTTCTTGCGCGATTTTGATTGGTCCGCTAAACCTGGAGTCATCCGGGACATGTGCTTTATGCCACCATTCTAATAGTAACCGTCCTGGCGTCCGTCCACACGGCGCTGCTCTTGCCCAGCTGTATCCTGCTGTACGGCGAGTAACTGTAGCCTGCTGCCTGCTGCAATCTGCACCTGATATGACATCACTGTCACAGTACAGAAGGTCCTGCACCCTGCCTAAAACTCAAGAAAGGGACTCGAGTGCAGACTGGTCGATGTTTCTTCCCTGCATCGCACCATATTGTAGAGATTGCTGAAGAGGCACTGCTGGAGGAGGCACAGCCGCACAGTAGGTAGACCGTACGTAGCTGAGCCTGATGTCATCAGTCCTGAGTTTGTAGGTGGGTGAACCAGTTACTCTTTTGCCACCAGAGCGCTTCCTCTTCCTTTGCTGCTTGTTGAGCTGCAGTAGCCTGAGTAGGTGTCTGCTATATCGCACGAGCTACCACCACTGCACCACTGCTCTTGAATTGGAGTAAGAGTAGATTAGTGGTGGGAATCTAAATTGTGCTTTAGTGCCAGGAGCAAGCGTTTTGCGGAATGCTTTGAGTAGGCTGTAGTACTGTAAGCTGCAAGGAGCTCATTGCGTTTGCATGATTTTGCATGGTTGACAGATTTTAATCGTGCGACTTGGCATCATTGTGCATAATCTGGTTTTCGAATATAAGACTTCAATGCAGCAAGAAATAAGTCGGGAGGTGACATCGGTTAGCCTGGTTGTTTAGTTCTAGCAAGATTGCAGACATACACCATTCTGCATCGTTTGAGCCAGTGCCTGGCGCAAACCGCATCTGCATTCACTCAAGCTGCAGATGGTCCCTGCTCCTGCGGGCTATGAACGTTCTGGTACTTCAGTAGATTTCGACTTACAGACGTTGGCCCGCAATGGTGAGTTGGCTGGTACGCCATTCCCTACAGTCTCAAGCTTTATTGCATGTCGGCCGTGCAAAACCCTTTGAAAGCTGGCACACCATTCACATGAACTGCCTGGAAGCGGTAACCAGCATTGTTGAGATCCTCATAGCTGAACAGCCTACGAGGGCCATGCTAAATGGCAATTGCAGTAGGGATTCCAAGAGCTTTTGCCGTCAATCTGGGCATCTACCAGCACGGCTGCACCGTGACAGCATCAGCAGGTATAGGTGGTGGCGTCTAAAGTGGCATTGCCAGTAACCGTGGGATGCAAGCTAATTCTCAAAAACAAGCGCGCCACTATTCAACACTGAATGTGACAGTCCTTTCTTTGTCTGCAGGAGAGCACGTTGAAAAGGCCGCGCACGGCAAACACGCTCATTGCCACATTGAGCGCCGCAATCTTGCTCAGTGTGACGGTGCAGGCAGAAGGTAGGTTGACGAGATGACAAGTTTGGACGTGCATATAGGACCTTCTTCATGTCTTTTAAAATGCGGGGAACACTTTTGGAAGTGACTCTGGCTCTGGATGCAGATGGGAATCTTTGTCCGGCCTATGTCGATTTGCACCAAGTGGCATTCGAGCTTTTTTTACTCCGGTGCCGGTGCCAGTGCTGCAAATGAGTCCTTCGCCACAAATCACAAACACGCAACAGAGGCCAGGCGTGAAGAGAGATTGCGCAACAGTATCCACAGACTTGCTAGCAAGGGGTCACAGGCACCTTAAACCGAGGCACTGACTACATTTGTAAACACTTCAATCTTTGATGGATTCGCCCGACCCTCGTGCCTTTGCAGCTGCTATGGAACATAGTTACTGGCCAGCAATGGGGACCTATAAAGGTGAGTCTCAACGGATACTGCTTTATTAGAGCGGTACTAGAGCACTTAATCAGTCTTGAATTTGCGCATCTTTCACAATGATAGCCTGTCACAACATTTAGATGAGAAGTTTGGATCTTCAGTTTGGCGGCAAATAAATTTGCAACCGGCTTTATACAGATGTGTTGCTTATGTACCCTGCAACTTGGCACCGCTTGGTTGTCCAGGTAGCTTAAAGAGATCAATGAAAAGTGTTCTAAGCTTCATCGGCATTCAACCGTCAGATTGGCAAGATTCTTGCGTGCAGAATCCACTCACGGTATGTTACGTTTTACTTCAGCGTTTGCTTGTTGAAGATACGATTGTTTCCACCTACCTTCTGCCTCCCTGCAGGCGGAACAAACCTGACTGTCCTGCTCGAAAGCACCCTTACTGGACAGACCAGTGCCTGGTTGTACTGCCGCTTCGACTCGATCATTGTCTTCAACGTCGACTATAACGCACGCGCACCGGAGGGGCCGACTGTCACCTTCGTCGTGCCTCCATTCGTTGAAGGAAAGAAGGAAGTTGGCCTGGCCTTCAGTGTGGACGGGCTCCATTATGAGCCGTTCGGCAAGTTTGTCTATCATGGTGAGCGCAGGCGCTGACTGAATCTACTGCCTGGTTCGCTCCCTTACGCTTTCGTCTCAAATGTTTGGACGTTTCTTGCTTGAGGAGATAGCAACACTGCAAGTAGTGGTGAGGCGATCTTGTGTGTCCTCAAACCGGGTACAGCGCAGCAAGGACACCATCTGGCGGCTCTCTCAGATATCAAGCACCTCTTTCGGGACGGCCTTTCGAGCTCGGCTTTTCTTCTTCTGCGTAGAGCCCCTGATGATCTTCTTGGTGGAACCGCCTGCGGGGCCTCCGGAGGGCGGTCACAAAGTCTCCGTCCGCCTGCTCAACCCAAACCCTTTCCTCGAGCGCGTCACTGCCGCTGACGTCAGACTCTTGGCAGAACCGAAGTGCCTGTTTCAGGACGCAACAGTGCCCGGTACATATGAACCGGCCTCGGACGGCTACCCCTGGCTGTCGGTGTCGTGCAGCGCTCCGCCAGGAGGCCTCGGGACCGTGGACCTCAGTGTATCGCTCAACGGCCAGGAATATACGAGTCTCCCTGGTACATATGCGTATACAGCGGACACCATGCAGACGCAAGAGCAGGAAGCAGGTAAGCGAGGGTCTGAAGACTCTGAGCATTGACGTCCTGCCGGCTCACAACATGGCCTCGTTTGGACGGTAAAGGACCCTCCGTAGGGTTGCTTCGATCAGGATCCTACCGTGCTGATAATCCGTGTTTCTCGTCAAAAGGATTTGGCTCGAAAGTGCAGGCTTCGTAATCGGCACTCGGTGCTTGGCGGATTCGGCGTTATAATGAGCTTTCCTGATGGGCAAACGCACAAAGCTCCCTTCTCTTCGCAATTTGTAAAGCCTTCGATATTGTTGCAGTTGCAACGAACGAGTTGACTGCCAGTCCCTCCATTGACGAAGCAGCTTGCGTGCGTACGTTCCGCGTGGGTCTCCTCATCTTCTGTTGACCCTCCAATGTGCACGTTTTGAACGAATACTGGAGGGGCCTGGGCACAACACAGGTGACAGTAGCTGCTTCACCTTCACATCCCTCGTTTTGCCTTCTTTGCAGATGTCGAACCTGGTTACATCACCACCGAGACGACAGAAGCGGCTTCATCCTTCTATTACTACACTGAAAAAAAAAGTAAACTTGCTCCCCACGCCTGCTTTTTATTCTTGTATTATCCTTTGAGATATGAGATGCCGAGCAACGCCGGGCGATTATAAAACATAAGCTGCTTTTTTTCCGCTCGCTATTATGGAGACGAGGACGTCAGGTTTGAACCTTCTAAACCAATCTTCCAAACTCAGCATTCCTAGCTCCTCAAAGCAGCGCGTTGAATATTCAGAGAGCGAGCCTACAACTTAAAGTTGATGCCGAATGCTATGTGGAAGTAACTACAATCTCTTGAGGCGCTGTGAACAGAATTATACATAGCCGCTTTGCTGTGAAGAGACTTGATCAATTTTATGCTGCCTCTGCTTAAGTCACTGCGTTAATGCGCGTTTCTGTTCAGGGCATGTAGAAAATGAAGCCCTCTGCTTGTCCGAAAATTGAAGCTGGAGATCTGCAATCTCGACCTAATCCAAAACTCAATGCTTGCTTTCGCCCGGCAATCTTCACTCGTAGGGGCGCTTGGGGTCTTGCTTAAGCGTTGGCTTAGCTGTTTGATATGGCTTACACTGGTCATACGGCTGGGTCACCGTTGAAACGTCTCTGTCTTCGTTGGAGGGTATGGAGAAAGAGCAAGCGGCATCGTTTTTCGTCCGGATGCCAGATGACGCCGTCGCGCAACTTTTGAGACTATCATTCCTGCTGTGACGTCACTGGCTTCACGGACCTGCTGACGACATTCTGGCCCTCTCATACTCTGTGACCTCCAAGCTCATTCTCAATGCTTCCTTTGTCTTGCAGCGGCTCAGGACCCCGTACTTTTGTCGGCGTGCATGATGTCGATCTATCCGAGAATAGGGCCTGGCGCCACGTCCTCCGCTGTCTCCGTCTCCCTTGGAGTAACGTTACCAGTCACGGGCGCCAAACGGCCGCTGTGCCGGTTCGGAACAAACGTCACGACCGGGTATTACAACGTGGGAACGAAAATTGGCCTCGGCAATGGCACGTTTGTTTACTGCCCGGCGCCCACCATGCCTCTGGGAGGCACGGTGCCTCTTTCCATCAGCATGGACGGAACGACTTTCACGGGCGCGGCGAGCTTTACGTACTACAGTGAGTCTAACACCTCTCTATCTTCCGGTGATTGTTGAAAGCGTTGATAGTCTATGCGATGCTTGTGGTGATGCGGAAAATTGTCATGTGCAGCCAAATCTACGCCAGCTTTGCGTTGCTGCCCGTGACTTGATTTAAACTTTGGCGGAACCACCCGGTCGTGCCACGTCAGCTTAATTCTGCCTACAGCATCTAAGCACTTCGCGAGGGCTTCGTTGGGCTTGCTTCCTTGTTGAGCGAAAGCGGTGACCCCGGATCCGTCTTGGATCTGGATAAGTTTGCCATTTTTGTCATGTCAAATGAAATTAGACAGTCCGACCTGAATATTGCTTTTTCTTTTCCTTATTTACAGCACCCTTAACCGGCTTCAACGTCTCCAATCTCCCCCCGGTCATGAACCAGCTGGGCCCCTTCGAAGCCGTCATCCAACTCTCTGCCTCCCCCTTCCCCGCCGCCTTCACCAGCTTCGACCAGGTCGCCTTTACCGCCTGGTGCTGGTTAGACGGCATTCAGACCCCGGCCGCGTACTTCCCACCGGAC